CGCGACAGGTGGTTGTTTTGGTGGTACGAGCTCGCTTGCTGCTCGTTTATAAAGGCCTGCTGCTGCAGGTGGTGGTGTTGCTGCTGGCAGCAGCAGCTGCTGCGGCTGCCGCATCCGCAGCAGTTGCTGCTGGTAGCATTTGCCGCTGCTGCTGCCGCATCAGCAGCAGCAGCAAGTGTTGCTGTTCGACATGGTGTGTGTTTATGTTGTGGTGTATGTGCATGCGTTTCAGCAGCAGGAAGTGTCTCGGCATCTGTGTCTGTCTGGTTTTTGTCGGGGAGAGATATCTAGTTTGCTGCTGTCTCCTTCTTCTCTTGCTGCTCGTGTCTCTGACCTTGCTGCGCTGCGGCAGCGGCTGCTGCAGGGGTTCCTGCAGGACGGCCGCTTCACAGAGAAGGGGATCCGTCTCCTCCAGGCCCTGGTCTCTCACGTAGACGCCATTCACTGTCCCCTCCAGCAGCAGCAGCAGCAGCAGCAGCAGCAGCAGCAGCAGCAGGAGCAGCAGCAGCAGCAGCAGGAGCGGGAGCGGGAGCGGCAGCAGGAGTTGCTGTTGGCGGCTATGGAGCATCAAGAGGAGATAGAGAGAAACAAACTCAGCCCCTGGAGACTGTGCTGCATGCAGTGGGCCCACATACTGGGGAGAGCAGCGGGGACCGAAGCAACTGTCTCCTTTGAGTCTTTGGTGTCTCTCTCTATGTCTCGCCAAGCAGAGGAGACGCTGCTCCTCCTCAACCCCTTCCTCACACCAAGTCAGTCCTGCTGCTCCTGCTCCTGCTGCTGCTGCTGCTGTTGCTGTTGCTATTGCATGCACTGCTGCGCGGCCTGAATGGAGAGCAGCAGCAGCAACAGCAGCAGCAGCAACTGCAGCAGCAGCAACAACACCTTGTGCTAGAAACAGTCTGACCCGCAAAGGCCTTTCGCGTGGCAGTCCTTTAGGCTTTACATCTGTTGCTGCTGCTGCTGCTGCTGCTGTTGCTGCTGCTGCTGCTGCTGCTGCTGCTGCTGCTGCTGTGTACAGAGATGGTGTGCGATATCTTCAGCCTGGTGGGGGCGGTGATGCTGTCGGTGAACCGCCGCGCCCACATATGTCGCTGTCTCCAGGGGACAGTGGAGCTGATGCAGCTGCTTAAAACTTTCTCCTCCAGGGCCAGAGCAGCAGCACAAGAAGACGCAAAGCAGCAGCAGCAGCAGCAGCAGCAGCAGCGGATGCAGCAGCAGCAGCAGCAGATGCAGCAGAAATTCCCAGAAGGGTTTGGTA